TTAATTAGTACACTAAAGCCATAAAATAAAAGAGAGATCACTTCATAAAGATTGTCAAATGACAGGCACATTGATTTTCAAACCTCTGAGGGAAGAAAAAATAGTTCCCAATCGATCGGAGATTTCTGTTACTGTGTAATTCTTTAACATTTATGCATGTCGCGGGATTTTCCAAGATTTGATGCATCCTGGGTAAAAGTAGCTTAAATACCACCATATTGAATTCCTGGAGGTACAAAAAAAGACATAAGCATTTTCTATATACATATATAAGAAGCAATAGTTACTCATTGTAAAACGTACAATACACACTTTTCCACACAAATATTTCTCCGATGAAAATCCATGTTGGCTATGTAAACAACAAATCACGGATATCGCCGAAGTTTAACAAGAGAGCAAAACTACAGTCAAATCAAATCAAATCAAATCAAAATTTATTTATTGTCGGTATACATATATAACATTTTACAAAACATAAACAGTTATAACACTGGAAACAGCATTGCTGACACTATACAAAAACAAATTGGATTATAATCTCACAACTCTCACCTTTCTGACATTCTGAAACCCAAACAAATTCAGCGCCTTCTGTGCTTTGATTATTACATTTAGTGGTTCTACACCTAAATTTCCCGGTAAGTGAATTGTAAACACATATGCAATATTTATTGTGTTTTATCAAATAGTTTAATCTGTTATAAATAAGTAAACAATACGTAAATAACAATTGATTATATTTAACAAATTATTCATATCTTTTTTGATATAACGTACATGTATTTGCTATTTGTAAAATAACAGAACAGTTCGTCCTGAAAATCATTCGAACATTATGAAATTCGCACCAATATTTCGAACCAATATCAAAAAATTTATTTTCATTTTTTTTTCTCAAAAATCAAATAACAGAATGATATTCCCTTCAAACTTGAAACATATGTTAAATATCAAAGGCTAAAAAATTGTAAAATAGTTAATCAGAATTAAGCCCCCTTTTCTATTTTCCTTTTATTATACATGTATACTATAAAGTACTGTACTGAGAAAAATGTACAAATGTAGTGTGCTGCTCCTCGGACATATCTTGTTTTCATAATTTACAGCAGTTCATGCAATAACTGGTTAACTCCTATTAGATTTAGAAGGACTTAATCCGCACTTATATGAAATTGTCAGAACACAATAATGAGATCAAGTTGATTTTTTTTTTTAGCTCTACAACTATTCGCAGAATAATCGAGCTAATGCAGTCACCCATTTGACAGTGTCCGCGTCCCTGTGGTTAAGTTTTTGCGTGTAAGCTAGTATCTCTATAACTACTCAAGGGAATGGATTGAAACTTCACACAGTTTTTCTCTGTGATTATCTAACATGATTGGCATAAGTCCCATAACTCTGATTTGCTTTTTTTGCATAATTATGCCCCTTTGTCGGCTTAGAAATTTTTTGTTGAGTTTTTGGGTGTAAGCTGGTATCTCTTTAACTACTGAAGAGATTGGATTGAAACTTCACACACATGTTCTCTGTGATTATCTTACATGATTGGCACAATTCCCATAACTCTGATTTGTGCAATAAAAGTATTTTACCCAAAGATGAGCATAGTATATCTTTAAGTGAGAAAATTCATTGACAGTTTTCAGTTTTGTTTCTATCACATTTGTTATAATGACAACCATAGTTTTGAGTTTAGTTACTAATCACAGTTGCCGTGATGACAGTCACAGTGTCATGCCCCCTAGAGTAGGGGAGGGCAGAGATGCTTGTCTAGGTAATTGCTTGGATGAGTTTGATCATGGGTCGTGTTGGATGAAAAACTAGGTCACAGAAGCTAACAATTGAAAAATCTGTTAACACTCAAGTGGCTACTGTTTTGATCGAAATATCCTGGAAATTGGTCTGAAAGTTTGTTTTGATGACTTCTAGGTCATGTTAGAATACTGGTCACCTTGGCTTAAAAACAAGGTCACACCACCCAAATATGGAACACTTTAGTGGTCACAATTTTAACTCAATTGTCATCAAACTTGGTCATGATACTTGCCTAAGTAATTGCTCTGATGAGTTTGATTGGTCCGGTGAGCGATCTAGGGCCATCTTGGCCCTCTTGTATATAGAATTGAGATTTGACATGCTTGCAGCTCAATATATATTGGGGGAAAATAAAGATGTCAAGATTGGAAAAAGTCGTTTTTTATGCCCCGTGCAATTAAGGGTAGTAGGAGTCATTTAGAATTTCCTTGCCCTTCTGTCATACTGTCCTGCTGTCGACTGACAAAACAGTGAAATTAGGAGTCATCTCTGTCCTATGGACACATTTCTAGTTTTAGCCATATAATTGTAATAGGTCATACTGACTTATGATTTAACTTAAGCTCATGAAATATTTGGACAGCTTGTATACAGTATTAGCTAATATAACTATATTACATTAAATTATTAAACTTTCAATTATATCCCAATTTACTGACGTGTAATAATCAGTATTGAATTTACAAAGTCTGTTTTGAGGAGATAAAAATTACATAATATATTTCATAACATTAAACACTTCTTTTTATGTTTGTATCCACTTACTCTTTATAAAATGGCATAGCTTGTTTTAGGTTTTAATTTTTTATAGCTTTTATTATTTTTAAGAACAATTTAAAATTGAAAAAAAAAGATTACAAACTAAAAAATTGTCAATAACTATTGGAAAAAAAAGCGTATATGTTTTGTTTTGACATTAAAGTAATATGGTTTATTTTAGAATTTATTTTTTTATTTTTAGATAAAGTTGACATATACACTGGCAGTTAACCTTTGGTAGGTTAGACTTTGATGCTCCTCCTGCCACAAGTTTTCTGAGCTGAAAGTGATGACAGGTAAAGTACTGTTTTTTTGGTTTTTTGTTGTTTTTTTTACCACTACCTTTGGAATGGTGTTACTTTAGGAATGGTGTCAGTACTGGACAAATTAGGTAAAATGTGATGTTCTACTTAATTTTGGGAATTCTACTAAATGTGTTTTTAATTGTGAAATGGCGGACCTTATTATGGATGACAAATTGTGACATGTAGGACACATATTTGGATGATGAAAATTTATATGGTTCCTCGCTTGTGATGGCAGAGTGTAGTTAATTCTGAGTGAAAGCTAGTACCAGCTGGTTGTGATTGAATACTCAGTGGTTCAGTAGTTCATTGTTGTTTATTACAGTGTAATTTTTGTACATTGTATGTGGGATTCAAAAGTTGAAAATTGGGAAAAACTGATTTATTTGGAACAGCTCTGTTTTCTGCTAAATAAATGTCACAGGATGAGAAGAATGTTCAACCTAAACAGGACTCAAACCTGGAACCCTTGATTACCACTTTAACATGACACTTTAAAAGCAGGGATTTTTTCCCGGATTTTGGGAACATGACCCATACCCATGGAATTGGGCATTTCAGTGATGTTTTGTTAAAAATTGGAAACTAATGCATGATTGAAATTTTGCAATATACCCAATATACATCATATTTACTTATAATTTCCAATGACTCAATATACCTCATATTTACTTATAATTGTCAATAACTCAATATACCTCATATTTACTTATAATTGTCAATGACTCTTTATACCTCATATTTACTTATAATTGTCAATAACTCAATATACTTCATATTTACTTATTATTGTCAATGACTCAATATACCTCATATTTACTTATAATTGTCAATGACTCAATATACTTCATATTTACTTATAATTGTCAATGACTCAATATTCCTCATATTTACTTATAATTGTCAATGACTCAATATACCTCATATTTACTTATAATTGTCAATAACTCAATATACTTCATATTTACTTATAATTTCCAATAACTCAATATACCTCATATTTACTTATAATTTCCAATAACTCAATATTCCTCATATTTACTTATAATTTCCAATGACTCAATATACCTCATATTTACTTATAATTTCCAATAACTCAATATACCTCATAATTCACTTATAATTGTCAATAACTCAATATACCTCATATTCACTTATAATTGTCAATAACTCAATATACCTCATAATTCACTTATAATTGTCAATAACTCAATATACCTCATATTCACTTATAATTGCCAATGTCTTAATATACCTTATATTCACTTATAAATGTCAATGTCTCAATATACCTTATATTCACTTATAAATGTCAATGACTCAATAAACCTTATATTTACTTATAATTGTCAATATCTCAATATACCTCATATTCAATTATAATTGTCAATGACTCATTATAAACCTCATATTCACTTATAATTGTCAATAACTCAATATACCTCATATTCACTTATAATTGCCAATGACCCAATATGCCTCATATTCACTTATAATTGTCAATGACTCAATATACCACATATTCACTTATAATTGTCAATGACTCAATATACCTCATATTCACTTATAAATGTCAATGACCCAATATAACACATATTAGCTTAATATAGTCAATGACTTTATATACTTCATAAATACTTTTAATTGTCAATGACCCAATATACATCATATTCACATATTATTGTCAATGACTCAATATACTTCATATTTACTTATAATTTCCAATAACTCAATATACCTCATATTTACTTATAATTTCCAATAACTCAATATTCCTCATATTTACTTATAATTTCCAATGACTCAATATACCTCATATTTACTTATAATTTCCAATAACTCAATATACCTCATAATTCACTTATAATTGTCAATGACTCAATATACCACATATTCACTTATAATTGTCAATGACTCAATATACCTCATATTCACTTATAAATGTCAATGTCTCAATAAACCTCATATTCATTTATAATTGCCAATGTCTCAATATACCTCTTATGCACTTATAATTGTCAATGACCCAATATAACACATATTAGCTTAATATAGTCAATGACTTAATATACTTCATAAATACTTTTAATTGTCAATGACCCAATATACATCATATTCACATATTATTGTCAATGACTCAATATAACTCATATTTACTTATAATTGTTAATTGTCAACTCAATATACCCAAACTTTCCTTATAATTGCCAATGAAATATAATTGGTATATCTATGAAATGCCAATAGCTCATTGTATATTCACTGTACCAAACATACTTATCATAGATCTTTCATGCTTTTCTTCAAATGATGACAAACTTAAGTAAATATTTTACATAAACTCCTGCAATTTGTCGCTTACATCTGATCATAGAATACTGTCACATATAGAGAAAATAATTTTCTACTGATTTGTTGCCTTAAAAGTGGAAAATGAGTTTGTCCCTATTGTAGAAATTTGAAGATTTTGATATATAGTTTCTTTCTTCAGTGAAGTCTAAGGTGCTTGTGTACATTGTACATGTGTCAGCAGACCAGTAAACAGCTTGTGGGCTCTGTATATTCTTCAGAACAACCTGTCCTTCTGTGCAGTCCCCCGATATCTCCCCTACGACATTGCTGGTACGATAACCAACAAATACTGTCCCATCTTCTGTCATCGCCACGCCACATGGCTTGTCGGTACAAACATATTTACCTTTCACTTCCCCTCGCCAGTTTAACTTGGTAACTGTTTTCATCTTAGAATCAGATACATAGATACAAGTGTCACATGATGTGACGTATACTGGATTTTTGAAAATATTTTCGTCTTCGATTGTGTGTAAAACAGTTCCATTGATGAGAAGGATTTGGACTTTGGCAGGTCTCAAAAGTGACTTAAACGAGACCACCAGTTTATCTTTATAAGATCCAATACCCCAACAGTTTCCATCAACCTTTAATGTGCTCAGCAACTGGTTCTTTGTCAGGTTGTTTCTTGAAACATATATAAACTGAATCGTTTGAATGTCTGGAAGTGTGACGGCAAGTTCATTATGTGAAACTGATGTCACATCTCTAGGACGACTGTCGAAGCATTGCTGAGATAGTACAGACTTTCTGTAGATATCGACCATTTTTATGGCCATGTTATCACTAAAATCTGCGATGATTAGAAGATCAGGTGTCAGGAGAGTCATTCCTGTTATCCAGCAAGGGTTCTTGTCTTGTGACGTCTTGATACAGATTTTATCCAAGTGTGGACATTGTCTGGACTTGAAACTAGGAGCTCTACCTTTCAGTGTTCCCATGAAACCCTCTTTATGAAGTAGATTTAGTATTGCCTCGTTTGGTTCAAACGTGTATTCTCTGACATCATATTCTGAGAGCCTAGCAACACTCTGCCCAAAATCTTTTATCATTTGTTCTGTTTGTTTGAGTTCCACGAACAAATTACTGGGTTGCTTCGATATGTTGAAATGTTTAATCGCATTGGAGGCTAACTTCAATGATTTTGAAACATCTCCACAAACTGTTTCTACTTGAGTCAAATTCTTGCTATTGTCCTTTTGAATGACTTTTGCAGCTTCTTTGACTTGTTTTTCCATTTTATCTAATCTTTGATTGATTTTTGTTCGGAACTTGTTTATGTCTGCCAATGCATCTGCCAAAGATTGGTTTGATTCATCATTTATTTTCTTCATGTCTTTAAGAGATTTGTTACACCTCTCAGTCATGTCATTGATCTCCTTTAACACATCTTGATATTCTTTGCTATTGATGCTCTGGCCTGAAATGTCAGGTATGTAATTCAGTTTGCAGGAAGCTGCTGTATGCTCATTGCTGACACAAACACTACAGAGGAGAGCTTTATGATCGTGACAATAAAACATGATCAACTCAGTGCCGTGTTTAGGACATAGTTTTTTGAAGCTATCTGACTGGTTACTTATTCCAGGTGACAGGCTCTGAGGCATGCTGGATTTGTCTAGAAGAACATGGTGTCTCGAAAAAGTTTGTTGTCTGTGAACTGTGCAGCAAGTTTGACACAAATGCTCTGAGCAGTTTATACAAAAGCCATGAGCAGGAAGTCTTGGTCCACTTCTGTCACACAACTGACAGTAAACTTTATAGTCTTCTTCAGACCCCATAGAGGTTGTTGAAGACGAAAAAATTTTGATGAGTCTTTTACCTGGGACAGCCATGACTTTTCTGAAACATAAAATAAACTTAACATGTTGTAATTTAACCCTTTCCCCCATGAGCATATTGTGAAAAATGGCCATTTTCACTGAAAAGCCTCCTCTTACAAGTTCAAACTGCTGTGAAACTATAAAAAATGCTTCAATACTAATCAAACTTGGCACAAATGTTGACTGGACCATTGCCTTTGTAACGACATGCTCAGTCTTAAATTTCCTGTTACCATGGCAACGAGGGGACATCTCAAAATTGCCAAAAATCACTATTTTGCCTCGATTTTTTCAATCAAAATTTATTTCAATGTGCTGCAACTTCTCAAGGGATTGAGATAGAGTCAAAGGCTTTTCAGCGTTGGTTAAACGTTACCTTATGATCGACCTGGGGTCATTTTAAACCTCTCACAAGTCCAAAATTTTCTTGGCGATGAGGGGGACTGCCCCCCTTCAAACCCCCCAAATAGGACATTTTTTCACTATTTCAGGCCTCAAAAAGGGGGGGGGGGGGTCGAAAGTGCGTTGTTTTGCGTATATATGTGGTAAAGGTTAACATAACATATACTGCGAATTCACTTATATTCGTGGTCATGAAATTTTGGGGCATTTTGGTGGGTTGTTAAATTCGTGGATTTTCAATTTCTTGTAAAAAAATTAATAAATAACCTTATGCAAAGTAATCTTACACTTAATCGCCTCGCATTTTACTAACCGCATGTACATATCTTCAAGTATCACACAGCGCTTGTCAAAAGATTTAATCCTTGCCTCTGGGCATTCATTTCACAAAAATCGGCGGAAAAGCTCCGATGCATGTTTGTAATATATAGAATAGAGACATGGCAAGAAGTATTTGTTAGGATAATATTTAGTTGGATCTTAAATTTGTGGATTGACCTAGTCACGAAAACCATGAAAATTCGTGCCCCACGAATAATAATGATTTTACAGTATTTGATGCATATATATGTAGTACAAATGTAGTAGAGACACGAAATGGTGACTCTGTCCCCCTTAGTGAAAATAAAAACAAAACCAAACAAGGACACATAAAGTTGCTAGTTTTACAAAGAATACAATTTAATAGTTACTGTATTTTATATTTTGATGAAGCTTTTATGACTTTAAGACTTTGTTTTGGCTTTAGTTAAAACTAGAAAGACACATAGTTATTTTTTACAGACATACAAATTTACTTAACCACATAAATTAAGTTTTAATTTTAAGAAACATACCTTAAAATATTTTCCAAGTTAATCAAAAACACTTTTATTTTTACTGTTTTATTGAATATTTAAGAAAAAACAAAATTGACTTTCTGAAATCTTGATAAATTCAGTACAACAGTACTTCCTGCTGAACATAACAAAAGTAAATAAAAGTTTGATATATGATATCTACGGCATGTCTTAACAGTAAATGCAAACTGACACCTATGCATATAAAAATGCAATCTAAAACCTTCCCAACGAAACAATTTTTTGAAGGTCATTTAAAGGTATTCCAATTAGGTTCTAAAGCCAATACAAAATTTTAAATTCTCACATAGACCAGTTGTGACACTTAAAGCAGCATACCTCAAGATACATGCTTAATTTCATGAAAATTTTGAAAATATATTTAAAAGTACAATATTGTAAAGTTAACTAAAAATGTAATTTACACATTGCAAACTGCAATACATAGAGGATATTTGTTTGTTTGTGTGTAAGATGAAATTTTATTTCATCGAGTGGGCTTTAAAAACAGTATTCTCACGAGTGGCGAAGCCACGAGTGAGAATACTGTTTTTAAAGTTCACGAGATGAAATAAAATTACATCTTACACAACAAACAGACAAATTTTCTTTTTATTTTATGCTTAAAAACAAGTTAAAACGAAATTTCCATAATTTTAACGTTAATATTAAAACTGTTTCCCCCATTGAGAGCCCCATTTATTCGGAATTTCTCATTAAAAAAAAGAAGTCTTGAGCTGAAAAATAAGTCCGCCAATCAACATTAAATGACGGTGATATTTATTAATTTTATTAAAAAAATATGAATGATCGCTTGTTTTGATAATAAAAACAAACAATTCTTGTAAGAGAAAAAGTCCAACCATCCATCCATATTTCTGTTACTTAGTGCGAATTTATATTAGACCTGGCTTTGTAAAATGTAAGCGGCAGCCATTTTTTAAAGTTGTGTATTTCATGGGAGGAAAATAATTGTGTAAGATTCAGAGGGATATAATTTGGATTTGTTAGTCATACACATTTTTAAAAGAAAGAAAACTTATTTGAGGATTGTAACAGACAAAAAATAAGTGTTGACAGATGTGAAAACATTCAGAAAAGGAGCTAGGAAAATGGAAAACCTGGAAACCTGCTCAAGAACGCTGGGTTGATTTAACTTATTCTTCGAGTTATGGCTGTCAATGCTTTCAATTTTTCATAAAGCATACGGTAGTTATTGCTCGTAGGATACTTTAATATGCCCAAATGTCATCAAGAGCAGTTTTGCATGGGGAAGGAATGTATTTTTGAGACTGTCAAAATGAAACAAAAAAACGAAATTTGGTGATTGGAATTTCATGAATTTAAATGAATAGAAGTAAGTTTTCTTCTTTTTATTACTTTTGACATTAATTTATTTATCAATTTCAGTTTTGCTTTTTCTTTAAACAGCCTGACATTGTCAGAATTGTCAGCAAAAATAAAATTGAGGTACCACATGGGGAAAATCTTAAAAAAGTAGTTTCGTCATTGAAAAGAGTGAAATTATATTTTGATAATTTTCACTGTGAAATTACCAAATATAATTTTCACGGATAAATCAGTAATCCACTGAAAAGCATAAAATAAATCTTACAATTTGCGTAAAACAGTGAAATTATCAGTTTTATATCACTGATATAATTATTTCTATAAACCACCGAAAAGCATGTAATAAAGTCTGTTAAAGATTGAAGGAATTGTTATAAAGAATAAATAGTTACCTTACCTTAATCGATTCTAAGTTCAGTTAATGATATAGATATATAAAAAAGGTTCATAATATGCCCATATGAAATGCTTATTTTTATTTCTCAAGAATTTCTTATTTTTGTTATCTTATTACAGTATCAAAATAGTAACTCATTGGCCATCCTTATCTTTAGCTTCTTTTGCTCTTGACAATTGAGCTGTGTCATGACAAAACCAACATAGTGCGTTTGCGACCAGCATGGATCCAGACCAGCCTGCGCATCCGCGCAGTCTGATCAGGATCCATGCTGTTCGCTTACAAACCCTATTACAGGTAGAGAAACTGATAGCGAATGGATGTGCAGGCTGGTCTGTAATCCATGCTGGTCGCAAAAGCACTATGTTGGTTTTGTTATGACGCGGCTCAATTGGTATATTGTTGACATTTGGTATACTTAAAGTGATTTTGTATTTTGCATGGAAGTCAAAATACTACATGAACTTGGTTTACATTTTGCCACCTTTGTTTATGTGACACATAACAGCATGGTCTGCACTACTTTCTCTAGTTGTTAAACATCTTACATACTCTAAATCTGTTAGTAAAACATAATTAAACACATGTTTGACATTTCTAAAGACTTTAAACAGATTATAATGATTTTCTAAAGCATAATGTGCCTTTAATATTGCATAAAGGGGGTCACCATATCACCATAATATTATATCTTTGAATAATTCAGAGGTCACCTTGAACAATATTACATCCTTTTTTAACAGGAATGTCATGTTGTTGCATATCTCATGCTTTAAAGGAGGTCACTTTGTCATATCTCCTTGCATTAAAGGAAGATCACCTTGTTCATATATCTTTGCTTTATGAGGAGAATCATTGTTGAATATCCTTGATCTATAAAGGAAGTCACCTTGGTGGTGGTGTTGATAGTTTTCACTCCGGATCATGGCAGTAAGCCGCACTGAATTTACCAGAGCACAGTTCAGCGTAAGCATCGTTCATTGGCAGGCTTTCAAGCAGTTTACCAGTTCAAGTTGCCTTTCGCAAGGAACTGATAACTTCTGTACATGCCAGAGCAGTGGTACAGTGCGAATGACTGTAGGAAGGATTTTATGATCAATCACAATAAAAGTGAATTGACCTAAATGTATATGATATCCATGCTTAATAGTTAGCACACCTTGTTGTATATCCTTGCTTTATAAGTGACATCATTCTTGTGTTTAATAAAGTCACCTTGTATATCAAGGCTTTATAGGGAGGCTACTTTATTGTATACCCTTGCTTTATAGGGAAGTCACCTTGTCACATATCCTTGCTTTATAGGGAAGTCACATTGTTGTATATCCTTGCTTTATAGGGAAATCACCTTGTTGTCTATCCTTGCTTTATAGAGAAATCACCTTGTTGTCTATCCTTGCTTTATAGGGAACTCACCTTGTTGTCTATCCTTGCTTTATAGAGAAATCACCTTGTTGTATATCCTTACTTTATAGGGAACTCACCTGGTTGTATATCCTTACTTTATAGGGAACTCACATTGTTGCATATCCTTGCTTTATAGGGAACTCACATTGTTGTATATCCTTGCTTTATAGGGAACTCATCTAGTTGTATATCCTTGCTTTATAGGGAACTCACCTGGTTGTATATCCTTGCTTTATAGGGAACTCACCTTGTTGTATATCCTTGTTTTATAGGGGACTCACCTGGTTGTATATCCTTACTTTATAGGTAACTCACCTTGTTGTCTATCCTTGCTTTATAGGGAACTCACCTGGTTGTATATCCTTACTTTATAGGGAACTCACCTTGATGTATATCCTTGCTTTATAGGGGACTCACATTGTTGTATATCCTTACTTTATAGGGGACTCACCTGGTTGTATATCCTTACTTTAAAGGGGACTCACCTTGTTGTATATCCTTACTTTATAGGGGACTCACCTGGTTGTATATCCTTGCTTTATAGGGATCTCACCTGGTTGTATATCCTTGCTTTATAGGGAACTCATCTTGTTGTATATCCTTGCTTTATAGGGAACTCACCTGGTTGTATATCCTTGCTTTATATGGGAACTCACCTTGTTGTATATCCTTGCTTTATAGGGAACTCACCTGGTTGTATATCCTTGCTTTATAGGGAACTCACATTGTTGTATATCCTTGCTTTATAGGGGACTCACCTGGTTGTATATCCTTGCTTTATAGGGAACTCACATTGTTGTATATCCTTGCTTTATAGGGGACTCACCTTGTTGTATATCCTTGCTTTATAGGGAACTCACCTGTTTCTATAACCTTGCTTTATAGGGAACTCACATTGTTGTATATCCTTGCTTTATAGGGGACTCACCTGGTTGTATATTCTTGCTTTATAGGGAACTCACCTGGTTGTATATCCTTGCTTTATAGAGAAATCACCTTGTTGTCTATCCTTGCTTTATAGGGAACTCACCTTGTTGTCTAGCCTTGCTTTATAGAGAAATCACCTTGTTGTATATCCTTACTTTATAGGGAACTCACCTGGTTGTATATCCTTGCTTTATAGGAACTCACCTGGTTGTATATCCTTGCTTTATAGAGAAATCACCTTGTTGTCTATCCTTGCTTTATAGGGAACTCATCTTGTTGTCTAGCCTTGCTTTATTTAGAAATCACCTTGTTGTATATCCTTACTTTATAGGGAACTCACCTGGTTGTATATCCTTGCTTTATAGGGAACTCACATTGTTGTATATCCTTGCTTTATAGGGAACTCACATTGTTGTATATCCTTGCTTTATAGGGAACTCACCTAGTTGTATATCCTTGCTTTATAGGGAACTCACCTGGTTGTATATCCTTGCTTTATAGGGGACTCACATTGTTGTATATCCTTGATTCTTGCTTTATAGGAAAGCCACCTAGTATCAATGTTCTTGCTTCATTGGGTAGTCATTTTGTTGTATTAAAATTGCCCTTGACTAATTAAAAATTTGCAATTTTCAAATTGTGTTGTGCTTAGCTCAATTAGTATTTGACCTGGAGTCCATGTGTTGTTATGCATCTGGTGGTTTCCAATTAAGATGACATTTGACTTATTATAAGCAGCCTGACTAACATTACATGACTTTTTGTTAAGTGCAAATAAGACATGATTGAAAATAGCTCAGTTCACATCTGCAAAACTCTAAGAATGTCCATGTACACATACAGAAATGAGAAGTATAATGCTAACATATTGGTCAAAGTGTTATAGAACTGACCTTCACATCCTCTGAGCCAAACTAATGCTTAAATCATCAGCTAGTCTCAGAACAGGTTTGTCTTAAATATCAATCTTTAATAATAATAAAAGTTTATGACTATCAAGTGGCCATATAACCATGGATGA